AATTATCACTATTTTGTTCTGTGTTTGTAAAGACATGACCATTAGGGTTTCTGAAGCAAATTGTATTACACATAAGGATGAATTCACTTCTACATTTTGGTAAATAAAATTTTATAATTGTATAGCTCAATATGACTATAAATTTAAAAAAAGTGAGTGGTCTTTATTTTTTTCATCTTTCTTTCTAGTAGTTATTATCTAGCATAAAATACAGCCTTAAATCTCACTTTTATCCTTTTATAAGGCAGAACTTCCACAGATTATTTAAAAATCAGAATATGGCATTCCTACTTAATCCAGTTCTAACAGGGAATTGAAATATTCACATTTTCAAAGAAAACAGAAAAAAAATGCCTGGCTATCCTATAAAAATCCAGGCGGCATGTGAATCCCATCATGTATCTATCTGTTAAATGATGAATTTATTTGGATTCTGAAGCTCCTATTTGACTTATTTTGCCATATCCATTCTTCAGAGCTATTTCCTATGAAACAATTAGCTTGAAAACAGTATGTTATTAGCTTCACAATTCGAGCTTCTTGTGGTTATGTGGCTGTATCACACATTAGCTGCTCTATCTTTGTTGTGGCAAGCAGATGAGCACTGCCATACCACTGACAATAACTGGACACTGCAAACTCTTTCTTCTGAATCTGACTCATTTTGACATCTAACCATTTCTGTAAATTGACTCCAAGTGCAACCCTGAATGGCATTTTTCCATGTGTCACTTCTATAGATCCTCTGCTTCCACTGTACTTTGTGTAAACTTAACCATTATGTTCTGAATTTAGCTGTATGAATTGCAAGTCTTTTTGTTAGGATTTGTATCTATTGTGGATGCTGTTAGTGTAAAATGTTATTTTGGGCTGCTGGTCATTTAATTCTATAACTCACCTTAATCTCAACTTAAATGCAGCACTTACATAGAGATAAATAGATATTTAAGCACTACATTGAATCAGAGACCTCCTATTGTGTAGCAATAAACCAAGGCACTTTCATACTCCTCATTTCACTCGTATGGAAATACAGGACTGAGACACGACATGTCACATGGACCTCTGCAAAGCAATGGCAAAGTCTGATGGTTTTAGGATGCTCAGCGATAGGTGTTTTGGAAACACAAATTCACTTAAGTATAAAGCCACTTACTTTAAAATAAATAAATAAAGTTCTTTAAAAATGTAGTGTACTTCATCCTAAAAGTAATTATATCAAACTCTATTTTTTAAGCCCCAAATCATCAAAACCAAATGCAACTGTCTCATGAGTTCAAATGTCCAGTTTCTAGTCTCTAAAATATCGGTTTCTTATTCTTTCTTCTATATCTACCTCTACAAAATACACAAATTTACTAACAGTAATCTCCTGTGAGTCCAGTCTTTCCTTAATGAGTCTATGGAATGATGAAAGAAGCACTCGTGCTATTAGTAGAAGAGAAGCTGCACTTGTTCAGGGAAAGATGTTTAGTTTATCTCCTTCATGAAAACAGGAAATAATCATAATGGAGTCAAAATTCTTTTTCCTTATAAATGTTAACAAAAACAAAACTATTTTCCTTTTATTTTCCCACTGGGTTGACCAGACACTGCAGTAGTATCTAGCTTGAAAACACTTTTTAAATGTCTCAAAAAAAAGTTACAGTCCAAACCCATTCAAGTATCTAGCTTTGAGCAGAGGTGGTGGTGCTAGGTCAGACCTAGTTATCTCTATCCAATCTATACAGCAATAAAAATCTAGAAATGAAACATTTTTCTTTTGACCTTATTCAGCCAAAATAAGCTTTATGCAAACAAATCTCTCTGTTCCCTGGCTTTTCCTAGCTATTGCTGTACTTTAACTTAGGCTAAGAAGAAAGAGATAAAAACTGACGTAGGTTTACGAGAAGTCAATTATGTGAGAATAACCAGATATTCCTCCTTGATGAGAAACTTATTTTGTAGAAGGTAGAGTTATGTTAGATTTCATTTGTCCGAATTTCAGCAGAACGAAAGTATAAGAAAGCACCAGCAAAGCCAAACAAGGTGGGAATTAGCTGAGAAAATGCATTATGTTTAAATGGGAAGTATCTAGTTGAAGTGGGTTATCAACAAAGAAGATGAGGTCTGGAAAGGATCCAATTTGGGACTCAAAAACTGGCATTGAGCTAATGAAAGTGGTGAGACTACAAAGCATTGTTAAAATAATGGAGAATCCGAACAATACAAGGGAAGAAGAGTGTGATCATCATAAGGATATGAATAATAGAAATGGTCTGAAATTCAATGGTGCAAAATGAAAGGTCATGCCCATAGGAGCTAATATCAAGAATTTCTGCTGTAAATTGGAGCTCATCAGTGGAAATTACTGAACAGGAGACAGGTGGGCTAACTGATCACAAGATGACTATGAATTATCTGTATGATATGTCCATGAAAACGGCATGTGTAATTACAGACTGTACCAGGAAAGCTATTTCCAGTAGAGATGAGGAAGCATTGTTTCCTGTAAAAGGTCCTGGTGAAAATTGCCTGCAATCCAATGTGTAATTTAGGCTAGCTGCGTGCAGTCAGGATGAGTTTCAATACATGCATGAAAGATGAAAGATTTGGGAAATGGGAAAGCAATAGAAAGAAAACTAGAAAAGGTTTGGTTATAAAACAAAGGATGAGAAGGGAAACTTTTACTATCTAAGAATATGCTAGGGTAATCATCACAGTGGAAGAACAGATGTTTAAGCTTAAAAAATGAATTATATATTTTATAAATAGGCCAAGAATATTTTTAATCTAGAAACCAGAATGTTTCTAACCTTTAGAAAAATGAACTTCTGGAATATTCTTCCAACAAAAATAGTAATATTGAAGACCAATACAGTTGAAAAAATGCTCCATTTTATGACCTTTAAGAAGATCAATATATTATAATGATGTGATGTGCCATCTGTGATAGCTGGGAACTGAGCAACACAGTTTACATGTTGCTGCTCGATGGATCCTTTTTATTAGCCCAAACACAGCGGGAAGTCCACAGCAACTTTTGGATTTCTGCCTGACAGAGCAGTGTCTGCTGAGCGGATCAGGACCTATGCTCATCAAACAGGACGAATGAGCTTGATACTCTCCACACTTGTTAGGCAGCACCTCCCATGCTATTTTCCATATACTTCTATGAAACTCAGGTAGACAGTTATGGATTCAGTGAACCATTAAATAAAGTGGCTCTAAACCTCATCTGAAATTCATGTTTTCTTTCATATTTAGCATTAATTTGCATGAACATAAAGGGACAACTTTTTTTTTTTTGCTTAGGTCTCTCATTTTAGAAAGCATCTGTGACGTTACATAAAATATATTAAATAGTTTGTTTTTATTATGCCTATATATCCACATACAACTCATTTATTCTGGTTGTATCAGAATTGATAAGCGTTGTCTTTCTCAAGCAAAATGATACCTTCTCACAAGTACAGAGTCCAATATCATGCAAAAGAGAATCTTGTAGATTCCTGGATATGAAATACTGCCCAGCTTTAGGTTAAACCTTTTAAGACAAGTCTTCAAAGAAGATATGTTTTCCTTGGGAAAATGACATCCCAAATAGTAAGTTATAAGCACCATAAAAAATAGGGTATTGTTTCAAGAGCAAGGAATTCTTCCAAACTGAGATGGCTTTATTAAGCATAATGCCTTCAGTGAAATACGAGATGATCTTCAGCACTTTCACAATGAGTAAAAGAAGCAAAGAGTAAACAGTGATCCAGCCAATGCTTCATGCTGGAGATGTCTACACACAATTTACACCACCCTTTCAGTCCTGGATATTACTTGGTGAGCTTCAGGGTTTAAGACTAACCACAGGTGATCACTAGGATTTTACACTGAAGGGTGGATCACCTAACATGACTTATGGTAAATGACTGAAAATTTATATAGTTAAAGAAAAAAAAAAACTATTGCATCACAAAGCATGCTTAAATAGTAAATTACTATCCCATATTCCTTGCAGACAATGAAATCTTGTTAACAAAACCCCAACAAGCTTTGTCAAGTAACAGAGAATGCCAAGTGTCTTAAGTGCAAGCAAAGGAGTAGCCACCCTTTTACACACTTTAAATGTGTTTCACTTATTTTCTCCACCTTAGTAAAACAATACCAATATCTCCATATGTCCTGAATGTTTAGGGAAGAGAATATGTGCTGCTGACCTTAGAAAACCGAAGTAGTGTGATATAGTCTGCACAACCATTTCATAAAAAAGTACATGGGGAAAGGAAAACACTGAAAATCAAACATGAATTGTACAGACACACAACAATATGTATTCCCCATATTTAAAGCATTTCAGGTGAGATGATACTACTACCTAGTTACTCTTTCCTGAAAGGACAGTGTTCTCATTGCTTAAAAAAAGATGGTTTTAATTCAAACACAGTCACATAACTCCAGTTAAGTATGATCTGTCTCTATGAGAATGATAAGGAAATGCATAAATAGTGAAGAATCACAGTGTTTCACACAAAGTTTCCCACCATCTGCTAAAAACTTTACAAGACACACCGAGGATGACATCTAGGAAAGAAGAAAAGCCTTAAGTAGCAGAACAAGCTAAAACTCTAAAGTTTCAGAAAGTAAAGGCAGTGAAAGCGGATCGAAAGAGGTATCACCACTAAGACGGGCATCAGCGCAAGGAATCAGCCACAAACCAACCCGGACACGGGCAGGCATCCATTTCCAAGAGGACGCGCAGGGATTCGTACAAAGTTACCTTCCGTGTGTCCGAAATCCCAGGGCCGGGGTGCCAGCCTCGAGAGCAGCAGCTCCCCGCGCCCCATTGCCGGGGCTCCCCGAGAAGGGGGGTTTCCCAAAGCCAACCCGCCCGGGGCTGTCCCGAGCGGGGACACCGGCGGGGGCAGCGCTGCCGGAGCCCGGGGCTGCCGCCCTGGGAGCGGAGGGAAGAGCGGCTGAGGAGAAGGGAGCCGCGGAGCCGGCGGCACCTCGGACAGCTCCGCACTCACCGTCCTCGTTCTCGTCGAAGACGGGCGCCCGCTGGGAGTGGCCGCCCCCCATGGCCGCCCGCAGCCTCCTCCGCATGCCCCGCCGCAGAGCCCGGCGCCGCCGGGAGCGCGCGGGCCGCGGCTCCGCGCGGAGCGCCCGGCGTGAGCGGCCGCGCGGCGCGGCGGGGAGCGCGGCTACCGCCCGCCAACGTGGTCCATCTCGCGGCGCCGAGGGGCAGCGCGGCGGCGGAGGGAGGGCGGGAGGCGGAGGGCGGAGGTCCTGATGATGGTGGCTTGTGGCGAGAGGTAAAAGCTGGATCCACCTGGATCCTCGCGGATCCTCCCGCCGCTCCGCCGCCGCCGCGCGCGCAGCGCCCCGCGCCTCCTTCCCAGGGCTGCGGCAGAGCCCGCGCCCCGCAGCGCGGCCGCTGCCCGCGGACCCCGGCCCTGGGGAGCGGCACGAGGGTCCCAGGGTCTCCCCCGCGCCGGGAACTGAGGGGCTCCTGAGGGGGATGGAAAGGGGTGGGGGGGCAGGCTGCACTGGGTTAGATCCTCCCGCCCGGGAGGAAGAGCCTCCGACCTCGGTGGAGTTGACGAAAAACGGAGAAAAGAGGAGAGGGGAGAGAAAA